AGAGACGAAGAAACTGCGGAGATGCGAGTTGCGAAAAGATACTCGAAGCGGCGAATTCGTGAACATCAAACGAATTAAATCTCTGCGGAGAGCCGACCGCAGAAACTAATATCTCGACGCGCACCGCTTCTTCCGTCCGTCCGTCTGTTCGTTTACCGTTTCATCGTTGTGTCTCCATGTCCTTGTCATGCAAAAATCGTTCGCTTTGTCATCGATTTTATTCGTATTGTTAGATTTTGGCCTGATTTTAAATAAAAAGCTAAAATAATTGTTATCAGAATTCAGAAGAAAAATAAATATAAGATGAAATCACAATGATTCTGATGAAGAATACACATATCATTAAATTAATTATAAGTAACGCAAAATTATAATTAATGTACATAGATATATATCATGTATATAAATTAATAGATGTATATAGATAATGTAGATAGATTAATAACTAATATCTCGACGCGCACCGCTTCTTCCGTCCGTCCGTCTGTTCGTTTACCGTTTCATCGTTGTGTCTCCATGTCCTTGTCATGCAAAAATCGTTCGCTTTGTCATCGATTTTATTCGTATTGTTAGATTTTGGCCTGATTTTAAATAAAAAGCTAAAATAATTGTTATCAGAATTCAGAAGAAAAATAAATATAAGATGAAATCACAATGATTCTGATGAAGAATACACATATCATTAAATTAATTATAAGTAACGCAAAATTATAATTAATGTACATAGATATATATCATGTATATAAATTAATAGATGTATATAGATAATGTAGATAGATTAATAAAAATGAATATATGTATATATCAGAGAGATTAGATTATATAAATATTACAATTTGGACAATTATAATATAAAAATAATATTTTTATATAACGTGATTTTGAATATTAGTACTATAGATTTTTCAACAGTTTTCTTTCTCTTTTATTTCTTCATAAGTGAAGACTTGACTTGCAATATGTGTGTATGATCGAATCAGTATATCTTTCACAAAAGCCTCACCTTTATTACAAAATGCTTAATGGTCTTCAACTCTTTAATTATTTATTTTTCCGAAGTACGTAAATTGGAAATTAATCTTCTCTCATATACGTTGATTATTTCTATCTACCTAACTTGACTTCAGTCATAAACGTATTTGAATTGATTGACCAATAAATAGAATATTGGTTAGACACTCGATTACATTCTAGCTATATCCAATCTACTTCTCGCATAGAGCTGCATTTTTTTTATTTTTCTGATATAATAATTATGTGCCTTCGTCAATTGAACCGGATGTTTTCGCAAGCAAAACAGCTTGAGAATGTGCTCGATAGAGAGTAATAAAATTATGAATAATGTATTTATAATTAACGTTCCTAATTTCTTCAGGCATGTATTATTTGAAATATTTATACTTTTATTGATATTCAACTTTAAACATAAATGTCAACTTTTTATTAATTGAAACATATGATTATTGAGAGTAAACACATATTGCTCTACATTTTCAACTTATATTTGACGCTAAGTATATTCACAAAATTTTTAAATTTCCAAATAATGAAATTAAAACGATTAAGATGTAAGGCAAGAATGCGGATCTTAACACATTTAAATAAGATAAACTGTCCTATCAGAAGCGCGATGTGTCTGGTAATCTTATATATATACATATATATACATGACATTGCTCGTATCCGCCAGTGAGAATTTTTAAGGCGGACTGTACGGTCAGGTTGCGCAGGTGTGACCGATGGCGGCGGCCTTTGATCCTCGAGCGACTCCTCGGCTACTTTGTCCACGACTCATCGCGCCCGCCTCGCTTTTTCGTCATTCGATTCGATTATTTCCTAATGGCTAACGCCATTGCGAAAACCATCTCGTGTATTCTCCGCTAAACATTATGCAAGATAAAAAATGCACGAGGGCGCCCCGGTTATTGGTTAATGACGTTAATTGACAATATTTTCTTCGTTCAAGGGTCAACACGAGCATAACCAGAAATTGTAAAACGGGAAACCGGTATTACGCGGCGTCATCCACATAATGAGATACGACGGCGGTGATTATTTTAAGCTGCTTCACCAGGAAACGATTAATGCATTAGCTGATAGAATCGATACGGCAATTTTCTCGTCAAGCTTTATACCGCAGGGATTTTCAAAGATTTAATCGCTTAACAATTTTAAAACTCTCCAATTCAATGATGCACTTTAAAATACATTACATACGTCATTATTAACATATTACAAATTTTTTATATAAATTAATTTATCTCAAAATAAGATTTTTTCAGAAAACATTTTGAAAGTCTATATAATATATTGAAGTTAACGGAAATTAATCTAACTTTTATCATATGTTTTCCAACTTTTAATATTTAATATTTAATGCAAAAATGAAGAATTAGTACATCATGGTATATAGTTCTGAAAGTGTATTTTGCACAGAAAGATTTAAAATATATTATCCAATTTTCTGTGTTTTAAAACTTGGTGAATCATACTGCACAGCACGTGTATTCTAAAAACTAAGCTGCAATGTGTTCACCATTATTGTACGGAGTACGATAAGATACGACGGCAGATGATTACTTTAACTGGCTGCTCCTTAAACTGGCAATTAATTTCTAATAACAGGCCGATTTAAGAAAATTACCGCGATAACATGTGCTCGCAACTAGTTCGATAAGAGACGGTGGAAGTGAAGAACTTTTAAAATGGCAATCCATTCTCACAAGAGAACCTATTTATAGATAAAGAAAAAATTAGTAAAATAACATACTAAAATACTAAACGGCTGATATTTTGACACTATCCCTAGAATTTAAATCTCGATTGTTCAATTATTTAATTAAATTCTTGTATTTCATTTCCAGATAGCCTAGATGTGAATATGATCAATTAAATAATGTATTATTTAAATAACGCATATCCTATTTAGAAGTAAATGTTATACGAATGACAGATTAATATTGCAAAATGGAATTATTTGTATTTAAATACGATCTATTGTAACCACGAATTGCTTTGAACTCTAATACCATGTAAAGGCGAACGAGAAACATTTTGAATTACAATCTTAGCTAGATCACTGGCATAACTACGATAGTTATGGCTCTCGGAATTCCGTCTGAGCACCGTAACGAATGCGTAATACTTTTATGGGGAGAACCCTTCCACGTCTCGAAAATACATTTAATTTGTAGAGACCCTTAGAAATGATTCTCTAACCACAATTCCAACTTGGTCGTCTGAAAAAACTTCGATTCGTTTTGCATGTCCCGCTCTCTCGATCGCTATGGGATTATGAAATTTTAGTATTATACACTGTACATTTGTGTACATGATGTTTCAAAAGTTGCGCGCGTTTTTATGGAAGTATATAATAGATTTTTGGGGAAATTGGTATCAACTAATATTGAAATACGCAGGGAATCTCGTGTATATTTTTTAAAGTCTTACTTCAACGTATTAAATCTGTAACGTGTAAAAGGAAAATTGAAAATATATAATCCATCGTTAATCCTGTTTGATAGAGAAACAACTGCTCCCAAAACACCGTTATTTACTGCGCAGCTGCGTGTTCTTTAATCTCTGACCAGCATGCGTTGCTGCTTATTGGCAATCTCGTGGAATTAATTGGCAATTATCTTGTCCTTATTATCGCTACATATATATATTCTGCATTTACCAACATCTTTGTAAATTTATGCAATGTAGAAAATAAATATCCTTTTTATTGCATCTATTTTATCCCCATATGTGGAATTAACTACGCATATGGTTCGTTAAGTAAGTGGCGAGAACGATAAAACACACAGAACTTTATACGTTCAGTTAATTCTCCAATACTTTTTTCCTCCATATTTTCCATATCGTATTTTACGCCTAACGCGTTTACGCGAATAATTTTTCCGCCGCGTAAAAGTCCGCGAGGAATTACTTAGGCGATGTCAGCGATAAAATCTTAATACATCTATACTTATCGGTAGCTAATTATCGCATCGCGTTTCTCTCTGAGAAACTCGCTCACCGAGACGAACGGTCTTGTTATCGGCAGGATTTAATTGCTGCTAAATCGATGTTTCGTTTGCGGTCTTGCGCAATACGCGCGCCTTCACTCATTCATTATCTGCGCGTATAATGACCGGTAATGCAATATAAGTGCTATCACGAAAGAAGAATCACTTTCGGATCTTTCGCGAAAAATCGTGTGAATCGTTGATAAAAATTACACTCGCATGTAAAACTCTCTTTTGATTATTTTCAGCATTAAAGCTCGTTCCTCCCTTACATCTTAACGCTAAAACCCTTCTTGTCATATTCCTTTCAAAAAATTGACGTTTTATATTTATATACATGTACCAATTTATAAAACAGGATAAATTATTTTGCATTTATTTAAATGAACGATATTTTGCGTTAGAATTGCTCTCCAAAACACTTGAACAACTTTATTCGTTTTCGAATGGCAAGAATATATTAATCAAAACTTTTGAAAACAACTAAAAATCACATACTGATAAAAATAATGAAAAATTTTAAATTTGACATACACAACGTATATATTAAGGAAATACACGACACGACTAATCGTGTCTAATTTTTTGTGTTTCAGAACAAGCTAATCACTTGAACCTGTTCAACAATCGCCAGCAACCGAAAAAGAAGCGCAAGAGTCGGACCGCATTCACGAATCAGCAGATCTTCGAGCTGGAGAAGAGATTTCTGTACCAGAAGTACTTGAGTCCGGCCGACAGGGACGAGATTGCCGCTCAGCTGGGTCTCAGCAATGCCCAAGTGATCACGTGGTTCCAAAACAGAAGAGCAAAGCTCAAGAGGGACATGGAGGAGCTTAAAAAGGACGTACAGACTGTGAATCCACTTTTGGTCGCTCAACATCACAAGACTTTCCTAGAGAATGTGCAAGATCTGGGAATTCTAAAGAAACGACCATTGCCAAACTCCATGGATGAGAAATCGTAGAGATCGATTCGCGAAATAGCTCTTTTTCGATCTTCTGTGTGCAATCGGAACTCAATACACGAATTGGACAACGGACAGTTACTCGTATAATGGTATCTTCGATCGAGAAGAAAGATCGAACAGTGATACGATGTCGTGTTACGATGTACTATTCTGAAAGGCATATACGAAAATTGTTTTATGCGTCAATGCGTAAATTTTGTATAGTTTTTTAAATGTGCGATTCAATCCTTTGACGTAATTTAGTATCCTTACTTTAAAAAAAAAAAAAACGTGCGAATAAAATCTAACAATAGTCATCTTCTCAAACTTATTTAGCATTGCTTAGTAATATACTACGATTAAATCTTCAAAATCATTTCTTTTAAAATAATTTACACTGTTATTGCATTCACAATTTTTCGATAAGCAAATATTCTCTACAATGGTACAAAGCAGTGACAAAACCGTAAATACTACGTAGCAGAAGAAACCGTAAAAGTAAAAATTATAAATTTCAATAGAAATTTTCGTTGTGCTTGTTAGAACTGAAAAGAAGTAGCGTTTTATGTCGTAATTTATGGCTTGAAAAATGGGAGGCGTATGGTCTGATGCAATTTTATGAAGCGCGGAGAGCGCGGTGTATTATATTGTATTTATTATCATCTCGCGAAAAAAACAGGAGAACGGGCCGTGTGAGGAAGGCCGGTTAAAGCCGTCGATAATAATAAATTATTAAGCAAATATTATTCCGTAAATTATAAATAACCACGCATTCTGTGGCGCCATTGTGTACATATACTGTATATACGTATGCATCGTTCCCTTGATAATATTACGTATAAACATGATAGAGTCGTTATACATGATTAGAATTTAAAAAAAAAGATCGTAAACATATATAGATGGGACACTGCAATATACCTGATTATGAGTTTAATTAGTAAATTTTAGGAGCGAGTATATAAGATGTATATCTACATACGGTGAGATTCGTAAAGTGATAGTGTGAGATGCGTGAGAGTAAATTAGGAGCGCGTATATAAATCGACTTAGTACAGTGTATAGCGAAGCTAAATAAATGGAAGAAACACATTATTAAAATTATTTGCGTGTAAACTTCTTCACCTTTAATTCACATTTTTTCTTCTACAATCCTCCTATTAATTTCCTATCTTGTGTACGATATTTGTTTTCTGATAACGTAGATAAAACTTACAAAATAAAATTATTGATTTTTATAATTAATTAAAAGTAAAAAGAACTTAGTTATTAAAAAATGGACTCTGATCAAACGATCAAACTGAGTTTGTAAGATTTAAAAATCAAAAAAAAATTACACACACAAGAATCGTGTTATTTATTTTCGGACCGCTTTAATGAAGTTTACATTTTATTGCGTTTTACGTAATATTGTGCGCGGCAAAAAAGACTCGACGCGCGTCGGCGTGCATGGTTAAAGAGTCACAAACGCGCGCATGTATACTGAGATGAAAAGGAATTATTCTCCAAAAATAACATGTACCACACTGCGGCCCTTCTGAGAATCTTTTTGAAGCCATTCGCGAGGTTTACCCAGAGATATAATTTATTAAGATGAAGTTATTTCGCCCCTTTTCCCTGTTGTATCCGTTCGTGCGGAGTCTGGTACTCGTCATAACCGAACACTTTTGCTGTCGATTGGTTAAAGCTCGTGTCTGCAAACTGAGAAGCTTGCAAAAATTCGAGATCACAAATATGCAAGCGTCTACAGACGCTTATTTTTTACCTATATAGAGATTTACTAAACAAAGTTAATTTTTCCTTAATAATGACGAGTTTAACGAGTGATTATTTTTAATTCTCAGAGAATTAAGAATCAAATTAAATGTTTGTCAAAATAAAATCTATTTTAAATTGAAAAATAAATAATTATCCGAAAAATTTTATTATTTAATTATACTTTTAAAATTTAATCCTCTAACATTTTTTTTTTATACAAAAGCAACTTAACAAAAAAATGAAAGAAAATTTTATAATTTTAAGTAAAGACAAGTATTTAACAGATAATAGAACGGAAGCGAATGTTTCAAATATAATAAAAATGTTAGCAACGTAAACTACATATAAACCTGCAGAAGCCGCCGGCCACTTATTAGAAGTATTGAGGGTGCACGAAGTACAACCAAGATATATAATCAGCATATACTTAACGCGTGTAATACACGTGATCATATCCGCTATAAACATCCTAGATTTGACTCGATTAATCTATTGCGCTAGCAGCAGCACGCGTTTTATATCAGAGATAATGACGACAGGTTAATGATAGACTCATTAACGAGACCTCATATCAAATAGTTCCGTTTAGCATCAGATATTTAAGTAACAGGAAGCGAGTTGTGATAATGTCGAGCTATCTGTTCATATATCATACATTGCGAGACTCGTTGTTGATATGCGAAATTAGCTACTCCATTTATGTATACGAAGGACTTATATATATGTAGGCTTATATGTATTTTATAGAATATTTCCATCCGTATATTTATATTCCGGAAATTCATGTCTGCGTAGATTTGCGAAAATTTTCAAATATCCGGTGCTTTAAAAAATCGACTGTTTATTACGCTCGTTATGATCGGCCTGATCGATACACGATCGTCTAGAAGCGAAGGGTTCGATAATCCGAAGAGAGGCAAATTTAAAAAGCGTAAGATTTAACAGGTAAAGAAATTTGAACGACTGACTAGTCGCAAATATTTTTAAGCTCGTAAAAAAGAGTGCGAAAAAATGTTCCATACAATCGTCGATACAAGTCGAGAAAAATATAATGCGATTATTGACTTGAACGTATGCGAGGCAGTTCTCAGCCATCGCTGAAATCAATGGGCCCATGTATGAAGCAGTAAGCAAGGTAGCTCGTACCGCCCTGTAATTCAGACGCCGCAACATCCAAATAAAGAATTCATAATGGCGATGATGACCACCGTCAATTTTCTCGATATATCCGATACACCAATAATTCAGTCGATCTCCGACTGGAATGTGCAATATCATTCATCGATCTTCATGCACATCGGAGTGCATCAGTCGTGACTCTACGAGATGGTGCGACATTAATAACGTATTATCGATTAATCGCAACAATCTATAACCGATTCGTATATTTATATCCTTATCATAAGATTTTTATTATCGCGATCGATATCCACTCTCGACATATTGGATAGAATTAATTTATGGTCTATTTGATTGTAATTATTTTCCATATATTGCTCGTTATTAAGTAGCATTGCGAAATGGTATTCGTTAATGCGAATCCCGAGAATCAGATTTATTCCATGTACTAATATAGATAGATTATACGCGAAGTGAATGTTACCGGATTATCAAAATATTAATTTCGTGGTAATTATCGATCGGTCGGTAGTAGCTAAATCGCTTCCGTTTAATCACCGGGCTTGAAAACGAAGCTGGTTCGATTAAAAACTTGTCTCTTTATTTCGTTTAACTGAATCTCGCGATAGTTTCGCTTCAGTATAATTTTGTTCGTAATATCGAGAATCAAAGAACAATTATTTAAAAATGCCAATTTGCAACAAAATCGTTAAAGAAACTAAATATCTCAGTGCAACACCGTTTTACACATCCCAATATTATCTTGATACCGCAAAATTAAAAGTATCATAAAATCGCATTATTGTAATGATTTATATATTATTCTAGGATGAACGAGATTGTTTTTCCGACCGTTCAAAATTAACGATTTACATAAATATCTGTAAAAATAACAATCTCCATTAATGATAAATGAGACTGTCAGATATATCAGAACTTTCTACATATCTGCGAATTCTAAATGTACAAACTTCTCGAAATTACAAGATAAATCAAGTAAGTTCACTTCGGAATGACCTCAAACGCGGTCTCATCGACATATACTAATTTATCTCTATACGAAAACACGTGCGAAGGTGTAGTCGCACGTGTCGTCGACCGTGCCGGCAAGCAAGATAGGCCCATGCGAGCGTATTACCCGGCGTTGTTTTGCATAATCTGTCCAGAAGATACCTCCATAAAACGGTTCGCGTAGCTCATTTTCCCGGCATTGACACGCCCACGTAATTCGGACTCATTTACTCGTTGACTCGCTTAACCCGCAGCCAGTCATGCGTCAGTCAAGCCGGCGGAGCGCGCGGACTGCCGCAGATCCATAATTTCGATTCGAACCGTTTCAGCACGCGAGAAACGAGTTTCCCTCGCTCTGCGCGGATGTAATTAGACGTGGATCTAGGCTCCCCGGCCCATCAGCGGGCCTCGTTAATGCGATATCTCGAACCCCGCCGAATCCTCTCGCCTCGTACGGCGAGCCGCCGATCCTAGCGCGCCCCGATCCCCTCCTGCCCGCCCTCGCGCTTCTATTTCGTCCGCTCTGTTCTTTTTTTTTCGATTCTTCATAGACTGACTTCTTTCACGTGGCTGATTTCTACCTGCGCGGTCTTTCATCTCGTCTTCGCCAACGAGGTCCATTTACACGGCGGGAGGACTTCTTTTGGGAGGCCTAGCTGTGCTATACGGTTCTAACTAACGAGAGCTCGTAGTCCCGACGATGGAAGATTAATACGTGGGAGTGTTTAGGCAAGAGTGGGTGGGTGATCAAGACGATATATTATTCGCGCGGTTGGAATCTTGCAAAACGTTGCTTTAGTTAGATAATAGATGATGCTCGGACATAACGAGTTTTAATAAGTATAACGTTAATGTAATTATTAAAGTTATTCAAAATTATTTTTAAATATAATTTAAATAAGTTTAAAACATTTTGTAAGTTTTTTAAAAAAGCCAAGAAGGAGCAAACAAACATATAAACAAAATTTTTATAGTTTGCATATTAAGAAAATACAATATATTTTTTAAATAATACATGTTTCTAAATAATTTTTTGAAATTTTTAAAAAATACTTGATCAATTTCATAAGCCACTATATATTATAAATATTTCTATTTTAAAGGAAGGAGTATAAGTTTACCAAAGTGATTTGTACAACAAAAAAATTTCGGAGAAGAAAATGCAAACGATCTTGGCAACACAAATTCTTGTAGTTTTATAATTTTAGGAATAATATGTAGTTTTTATAGAGATGTGTACATGTAAAATATATGTCTTATATGATAAATTTAATTTCTGTTTCTCAACATTACTACTATAGTTTTACCTATCATTCAGCTTTGTTTATATAAATATATCCTGTTCTCCTACAAAAATTGAATTAGTCGTGCCACGCCACGGCTGTACTAATTACGGTACTATTAATAGTCATACTAAGACAGGGTTAAGCAAACGAAGTCTGAGAAACTGAAACGCATTAAGTGTTTAGAGATCCTTTCACACGCGTTATCGGATAAAACGCGTCTGGGAAACGCGCCGGTTCGCGAGAGCCGCGCGTTCCACGAAGATGGAAGTGATGGAAGCGGATAGATGTACGAGCCCCGTTCGTCGTCGGCATCGTTGGCGCGAATGGGACAGCTGATGGGCCGGTGTCCCCGAAGGCGATCGGCCGAGACCAATCAGCGTTCGTTCGTCCGTCCGCACCCTAATGACACCTGCAGGCTAAAAAGCCATGATATTCAACAGCCGGACGCTAACGAACTCTGCTGCACACCGCATGAAACACAAGGATGGGGACACGGCCGCAATACCGTATACATAAAGCGCAATATATATGCTTTGTGAAGTTCATTATTACTGTAAAATGCAATTTCTTAAATTTCTCAAAATTTTGATACCGCGCTATTTTTCTATAATTATTTTTCTAATCACATTAAAATTCTTTAACAATATTTTAAAAAATTAGAGCGAAAGAATAGACACGCGCGAAAATAATTAATATCTCATTTTAAAGATTCTTGTGTGTAACACAAGAAAATTATCGTGAGGTATCGTAACGAATATCACCGTAGCGCTCAACCTGTTAACAAGAAGACGGTGCAGAGCTCTCTGGGAAGCGGTAATCTAATAAGAGCCGATTCCGCGCAAAAAAGCCCTCCCGTGTGCGTTAATTCCATCTTGTTTCGCGGATCATTCGAGGTGGACGACGATGGTGTT